TTACCTGTGTGGGATTTACCATCTTCTCATGTAACATAAGAAACTAGGCCAGATGAATTCCAAGCTCCTTCCCAACTCTAACATTCCAAAAGAGTATGTGCTGAGCACCAAAGAGCTCTGATTGAGGAAAGAAAATAAGACTCATACAGATATCCACCCTTTGGGGTACACTATGATTAGTGCCATTTGGAGGCTTCAAAACAAGGTTTCTAAGAGTAAATGTAGAGAGGAGCTACTGTTTCTTAACCAATCCTAGCTGACTGGTTAAGAAAATCCCTGGAAAAAAGATGCAGAAATATAAAGTTTTCTTTGGTGAATGAATAAGGGTAGAAAGAAAGACCAGGGCCAAACCAAACCAAGAAGCCTTGCCAAACAGGCAAGGTTGACCTTATCATGGATGGCAATAATTTTTGAGCAGGGAGATGACAGTAATGTTTATAGGTATGTGAATGTGGTGGTACAATAAAAAATTAGAAGGATCAAGATAGGAAAGCTTGGGTATTCCTCTCATTAACATTGTATCCTTCCTCTTCTCTGTGCCTCAGTTTCCCCATATATAAATCAGGTGGGTTAAACTGAATGACTTCTCTTACAGTTTGGATCCGGAATATCCCCAAAAGGCTCAAGTGTTGAAGGTTGCTGCTCCCAATGCACCAATGTTCAGCAGTGGTGCTTTTGGGAAGTGATTGGTTTATGAGGCTCTAATTTCATCAAAGGATTAATCCACTGATGGATTCATAATTGAATGAACTGTTGGAAAGTGGTGGAAAGTATAGGAGGTAGGACCTAGCTGGAGGAAGCAGGTCACCTGGAAGGGTGTATCTCCTCCACAGACCCTTCCTTACTCACTCTGCTTCCCTGCTGCCATGAGATGAGCAGCTTGCTCCACCATACGTGCCCTTCTGCCATGATATGCTGCCTTACCACAAGCACAGAAAAAAAAGGAGCCAGATGACCACAGCCTGAAACCTATAAAACCATAAGCCAAAATAAATCTTTCCCCTCTAAATTGATTTTCTCAGGTATTTTGTCACAGTGACAGAAAGATGACTAATAATGCAAGCTCTGAGAACTCTTCTCAACTCTACCCTTTTAAGATCTATAGAGTGGATAGAAATAGAGTCCAAAGCTAAGAAAACCCACGAGGGAAGTACTCAAGGACCCCAATAGCACAGCAGTCTATGCTTTATAAATGTTGCCCTCCCAGCTACTTAGTCAACTGACTGATAAGCAGGTGGCACCTTCTATATGCTAAGCATTGTTCCAGGCTCTGAAAACACAAAAAGAAGCCAAAATCCTTGCCCTTAAGAATTCCACATTCTTACAGATATCCAGGTTTTGTGCACCTAAAACCAAAAGCAAGTTCTCAAACATGAGACTGACATCCTATATTTCCAAGTCACAATGACTCAGTACTAGAATTTCATAGTAAAAAAGTTGTGGAAGAAATCTGCAGACACAGAGAGTCTTCTGAGAAGAGCCCCTTCTGCCTGCCAGGTCTTACTACACAAGTGAAATTCCTTAGTCAAGTTCCCCAATAAAAACAATTGAATTGGGCTGGGGTTGTGGCTCAGGGTAGAGGGCTTGCCTGGCATGTGTGAGACACTAGGTTCAACTCTCAGCACCACATATAAACAAATTAATAAAAAAAAAAAGGTCCATCAATAATTAAAACTATATATACATAAATAATAAACAGTTGAATTACCTCTGAATATGACATTTCCTTGTCTGCAAGTGGCCAACTGGTTCTGGTCCTACTCCAGGTCAGCAGCACCAACACAATAAAGCCTGACCTCTGAAATTCAGGTTTGAGAATCCCACCCCCACCCCCAAGAGCTGGGTGCCAAATTGTGTGAGTTGGAGTCAGAAGAGCCTATGGGGAGGTGTATCTGGCAGGAAAGGGTGAAGCAGTGCATCCATTCAGCCAATGAGAAAAAAGAAACCTGTTCCAGGAGCCGAAGACACAGCAAAGAACAAAACTTAGATGGTCAAATGAAAAACCTCAGATCTCCTCTTCCTATAGATCCCTGCCAAATCAAAACTAAGCTGCAAAGGAAAAAAAAAAGGAGATAAAGTAGTAAAACACCTATAAAAACCATGATCTTTAACACAGACTGGTGCAACAGTATATAAGGTGCACTCTTATGCAAATTAAGGATAAAGCACAGCAAATATGTATCTGGACCGTTCACAGGGTCCCATATGCCCATCTCCACCAGTTTCTCGTGCCCCAGAACTCCTCCCTTCCCCAAAGCTAGAAATAAATGTTTCTTAGAATCAGTGGGTTACACTGCCTTCATGTGGATGATGTGAAGGCCTCCAAAGTGGCCAGAGTGTCAAAGACCAAGCCTTTCAAGCCCCTGCCTTCACCAAACAAACTTCTGACTATACCAAAGTATTTATTCTTCCTTAGATTCCTGGGCTGGCAATGATAAAAGGATCCCAGGTCACTGCCAAACATCTATTGAAAGATCAGACTAAGAAATTCAGGTGCCATGATCATGGATCTAAGTTGTAAATGCCTTAGAGAGAGAATGGGTCAGCCCTCTATGTTCCTGTGTCCAGCACAGTGACTGGCACCTAGGAGAATCCTCAGAGTTCACTCACAATGACTTCTTAAGTGAACTAGTGATTTCCTGCTTTATCCAACTGGGGGTTAAGACAACCAAAGAAACCACAAGATCACAATGTCTAACTAACCTCTACAGCCCAGGGGTTGCCTCTGAGAGAAGGGCATAGCTAGCCACAGAGGCCTGTGACTCCGTGCCAAAAGCCAGGTTCCCAGAAAAGGAGGGAGGCAGAGATGGGAAATGTGGCAGGAAGGAAATGAAGACTTAGAAGGGAGGCTGGAAAGATGCTTTTTTAAGGCCCATCTGAAACTCAGATATTTACAAACACTACCCAGCATGTTTTGATAACAAGCAGGCTGAGACGCTAAAGGAAGAGCAATTTCTAAAAACGTTTAAAAACATGTAGGCGTATATTCCAAATAGAAACTGGGGATGCTGTCAGCAGTCTTCATTCTGCTTTGAAACTTAACATAAATACTGCATATCACCTCCCACCCATACCAACCCATGCATGGTAGAAATTAGATGAAAAAAGGATTAGAGGAGTTGAGTGTTGCTGGGTATGGTCATCTCAAGTATAGTTCTAAATGCACTATTAAATATGCCATTTCTTTAAAATTAAGAATAATTCTATAGAATCTCATATTTATTTCACTTCCATGATAGTCTGACATTTTTTTAAAATGGGGAAAAAACAGACATGGTGGTGCATGCCTGTAACTCCAGCCTCTTGGGAGGCTGATAAGTTCAAGACCAGCATGGGCAACTTAGCGAGACTTTGTCTCAAAACAAAATCTAAAGAAACGGTTGAGAACATAGCTCAGTGATAGAATACCCAGTATCCCAACCCCGCACCAAAAAATGGGAACTTTAATTCCAGTCTCCACCTGCCAACTCAATCATGGTAAGACTAAAGAGCAAGACAAGCCACCAGGCTGGTGACAGCATAGCAAAGTGGTTCCCACAACAGGCAGTAAGAGGCAGACTTTGAGATCTAGACTTAGTTCTGCCTTGGCCAAATGTTCTGGGAAAAGTTCAGTTCGGACACAAGTTCTTACTAGTCTTGCTGTGGATATAAAACTTGTTTGGTCAAGTTCCATGTTCTTACATAACTAGCAAGGCAGTCCTGCCAATCCCTGTGTGTTTGACACAGTGTATCAGACTATTTCTACTAGTATGGTACAGGGAACATGTATGGTACAGGGAACCCCTGCCTCATTTCCGCCAGCCATTCTCCAGCGGGTACATCCTGTGTCCTTTCTACCAACAATATCTTGATGCCAGCTCTGAATGAATCAAACATCCACCACTGCCTCTGGCCAGACCTGACGGAGCCCCACCCCATTGGGCCTCAGCCTAGCACTGTACAGCTCAGACATCCAGGAAGGATCTAATCCTATCCCAACCCACAGCTAGACAGTCTTATAGATATCCAGCCTAGTGGCTGAGGACCCAACAGTCAAACTTGCCCACTGAGACTCATCAGAAGAGGCTGGAAAAGTATGGAGAGAGAGAGAGACAGAGAGAGAGAGAGAGAGAGAGAGAGAGAGAGAGAGAGAGAGAGAGAAGGCAGGCAGACAAGCCTGAAGGCTAGTCTAAGACATTAGCATTTAGCCTTGCCCATGAACTGAGAAACCCTAGTGAGAGCACTGTATGTCTATCTGCCAGTCTGGAAGCTTTTATCTCATCACGGGGAGATTTAGCCACTATGCTAAGCACCAAGATATATTATCTCATTTAATCTTCATAGCAACTCTGTGAGATAATTTTATATATGAGATAACTTGGATTTTAGGAGGCACAGGGAAATGTTCTGAGATCTATTTGGCAAGTAGTTAAAGCTTGAATTTGAGCCCAATTCTATAGGACTCCAAAATCTGTGGTTTTTCTATAGTCCTACATTCCCATTTTTAAAAAGAGGACAAAACCAGAAGTGGATTATAACTTACTTTCAGTAAAATTTCCCACACTATCTTCTTTACAGCCCAACCTAAATTCTTATAGTCTAGACTTCTACTTGGAACTTGTGCTAAGATGCTTAACTGCCTACCAACCTCTACCCCAATGGGGTCAGTCTTCCCTATGGCAGTGTAACCCCAAGCTGTCTCTACCTTGGGAAGAGATTATATAAGCTACTTCTTGCTGGCCCCATCCCTGGAGTACTAGGGGCCTCCAACAGAACAAAACAAAGCTTGTTTTAGGGTTATTGTTTGTTATTTTTATGGAGATGAATAGAACTAGAAAAATAATGCATTTATCAAAGAAGAATTCTGCCTAATGGTCAGCATGAGCTGAGTCCAGACAAGTCACCTGGATGACTGTCAGACTCATAATGATAATCATTAATATTTTGACAAAGATCCCACCAGGACCCAGGCTATTCGGCTATCCTTTGATGCCATCTCCTAGCCATGCTCCCCCACTCACCTGCTCAGAGTCTCCCGAGGAGCCTTAGTGCCTCCGGCTCCATGGGTGATGCTGGAATTCTTGTTGGCAGTCATGGTCATTTCGGCTCTCTGCAAACCCAGAGCCCTGCAAAGAAGACAAGTCCTGTAAGCCAAGTTTCCACAGCAGCCAGAAGTACCTCAAACCTCTTCCAGATGACCTCCAAAAGGGTTTCTGTGGCAGGAGGTAGAAACCACTTTGCCACATATGTTTAACTCCACATGTTATAGCTTAAAAGCCTCAAGAAATACCCCGCGTGGGGTTGGAAAGAATCTGTGAGCTAACAGATAACCTATTACCTCACAGAAAATGATTTGAGAAAAAAAAAACCTTCCATCTCCTCTAATTCCCACCTCTCCTCATTACTTAAGTTAGGTTTCCCATTTTTTTATCATTCCATACAGCAGTTATGATTTCTGCCATATTTGTACACCTCCTGACGTACTATTTTTTCAATATTTTTTGTGTGAATAAGCTTGAAACTGGCTTTCTTTTCTTAAAATATTTTAACCTTGTTCTAAACAATAAACCATTCATTCAACAAATATTTCTTGAACAACTCTGTCAAAGGCAAATGCAATCCAGCAAAGAATAAAACAAAGCCCCTGACCTCCTGGATGTTACATCCTAGTGGAGAGAATCAGATAATAAGTATGTGTCCTGTGTGTGATGATTAAGTGTGTGTTTGTGTATATATGTTAGTTGATAAGTGGTATTTAAAAAATGAAGCAAGGGAGAGGCAAAGAGAATAAAGAGGATGTGGTATTTTAAATAGGATGTTTGGAGAAGACCATTTGGATAAAGTGACATTTAAGCAGACATAAAACAGTGAGCTAGAAAGGCTAATCATATTTTTTCTAATTCTTATTAAATGAAATTAATATGCATTAAGATATTAATATTTACAAAATAAAAAATGTTTATTCACATACCATATAGTCAGCTAATCCATCACCAATGGTAAAAGCTCCATTCTACAGAGAACACAATTTTATGACAAACAATGAACAGGAAAAAAAGATAAAAATTTAATATTATATTCAGATTGGAGAAGAAGGAGTAAAATTATCTCCATTTACAGATGGCATGATTTTGTAGGTAGAAAATCCTAAAAATTCCATGAAAAAAAACAAACTTTAAACTAGTAAGTGCTATAGTTTGTATCTTAAATGTCCCTCAAAGGTCCATGTGTTCTAATTCTGGTCCCTAGACTGGCACTACTGGGAGGTGGCAAAACCTTTAGGAGTTGGCCTAGTGGAAGAAAGATAAATGGGAAGTGGATAAATCCATGAAGTGGATATTGGAACTCCAGGCCCTTCCTGTCTTTCTCTTTGCTTCCCAGACACCATGAGGTGAACAGGCCTTCTCCACTTCATGTTCCCAGCATGATGTTCTGTGCTGCCACAGACCCAAAACAACAGGGCCAAGCAACCCTGGACTGAATCCTCTGAAATGGTGAGTCAAAGTAACCCTTTCCTCCTTATAAGTTGTTTACCTCAGGCATTTTGCCATAGTAATGCAAAGCTGACCAACACAATAAGTTCAAAATAGCTTGTAGGATAAAAAAAAATGTATTAAAGCAGCTCTAGGCTCTCATCTATGCCTTCATCTTGGTTCCTTGGCTAGTCAGGCTAAGGAGAGAAGATTCTCTGAAGCAGAGGAAATGCCCACTGGGAACACAGCAGAGAGGCAAGGGGGATATGAGACTGTTTCACAAATCTAAAGCTCCTTGAATGGCAAAGTCCAGACAGAAATTGCATATTTGGAAAATGAAATTGTCCAATTAGCATCTACAACCAATCACCAGTCCCTCAAAAACTCAGCTCTGAAAAATTACAGACAACATCTGAATAACTAAAATCCAGAGAAAGGAACACAGTAAGTGTTTCCCAGGTACTTGAGGTGCAGTGGAAATAATACCTGTCAGAGTCAAATAACTGCATCTAGCCATGCCTCTGTCAACTGCTAGCTATGTGACCCTGCACAAATATGGCCTGAAGACTCACTTTTTCACTTTAACTGTAATAACATGACCTACTTCTCTTGACTGCTATGTTGGGCACACAGAAGCTTAATAAATGGTTTTTCTTCCAGATCACGCTTCTCTGGGTATTTAGGAGACAACCACTCCATTCCCAAGCCTGAGTCATTTTTTATACTTCCTGATATTGCAATTCAATTTACCCTATGCCAGGAACTGGGCAAGGCGCTAGAACATTCTCTGCCTTACAGGATCCAACTGTGAAGGGAGAAAACTCAAGTAAACAGTAGACATCAAGATCTGGGGTTGTGTATCAGTGTAGAGCACTCATCTACCATGCGTGAGGCACTGATTTGATCCTCAGCACCACATAAAAATAAAGATATTGTGTCCACCTATAACTAAAAAATAATTTTTTTAAAAAAGTAGACATGAAGAAGATCTCATGGAGAGCTAGGACTGTAGCTCAATGGCAGAGCACTTGCCTAGAATGTATGAGGCACTGCATTCGATCCTTAGCAACACACACAAATAAACAAATAAAATGAAGGCATTCTGTTCATCTACAACTACATTTTTTTTTTAAAAAAAGAAGGTCTCATGGGGAAGTCAATTAAGCCATAACCTATTTGTTTTTCACAATAAGAAAATCTAAAGAAAAGCTAAGGTACATTTATTATGAAACATGCTGCTAGATTCCTTTTATAATTATAGTAGTTAATATTATAAGCCTTCACAGGTATTGAAACATCTAATCCTTTTGAAAGCCCTGTGTAGTAGGAACTATTACTACTTATACTTTACTAAGGAAATGAACATACAGAGCAAGGACCTAGCTTGCCCAAGTCATACAGCTAGAAAGTGGAAAGGCAGGGAGGGCTCTGAGCTCAATCCAACCCTACCACCCCATCTACAGATGCGCTCCCAAAGGTCCAGGAAGGGATGTATTGGAGTTCAGTTTCTGAATAAAGCTGTTTCTCAAGGTTGCCCACCATCTAAGAATAAACCTTCCTATCCTAGAGCAAAAGAACTGTTTCCTCTTGTTTAGGAAAAGTCCATTTGGTGCCTTTCAGCAAGCATAATTGTGGATGTGACAACATGCCTTGAGGAACCCCCTAAGAGTGAAGAGGAAGAGAAACAAGCATGTGGAGGGAAGCTTTCCATTCTCCTGGGGTTAAAGTTGCTACTGAAAGCAAACAAATACCACCAAGCACTCTTATTTACTAGTCCAGGTGAGAAGTTAGAGACTTGAAAAGGAGGCCTCTAAACTACATGAGAGAATTTCTGCTGACATCTATGTGACTTTAACTTCCCAAGCAATCTGCTCACATAGATATAGTTATAGCTTAAGAAGCAACTGGAAGGGCTGGGAAAAAAAGTGGCAAGGGGGACTAATCTTTTGTGTGTGCTCTGAGAACACAAATACAGCCAAGGCAATGCAACCAGCACCTTAACAGTACAGTCTACCACATAGCGCGCAGCTGCGTCTGACTACTCTTGGGGGTTAACCTGTGCTCATCCTGTCCAGTAAACACCTACTCAGACTTTCTTACCAACTCCTTCCTGCACCTTTCTCATCCACAGGTCCTGGCCAAGGAGATAAGGGAACAACCAGCAGCTACCCAAAGAGGGGCTTGCTTTTTCATTTCTTCCTCCAGGAGTCTAAGCAACCAATATAAGTGCTCATATCCTAAGAGGCCTAACAAAGGCAGCTAATGAGGATGACCCTTTTCTTCATGACTCTCCATCCTCATGCTCAGCACTCGGCTATCTTCTGGATCCTCACATCAGACCCTATTCTTCCTGATAAAGGAAAAGCCCTGCTAAATTCCATGTGGAAAAGCCCCCCCGACCCTGCTCCCCTGAGGAATCCTACGAATGAAGAGGAGAGAAGCTTCCCATTCTCCTGGGGTTAAAGTTGCTACTGAGGGAGGTAAACACAATCCTTCCCTGCCTTCTCCCCTCACCAACCACCTGCCTGATTCCCGTGAGGATAGAAGGGCTTCTAGAAACAGACCAAGAAAAGAACTTTAGATACAGGCATGGCCCTTTTCTATCTTCCTGGGCCTGCCTCGTTCATTCTCCTTCTGCGGTAATTCCCTTCCCCTACACACCTACACACAACCCAGGAAAGGTCACCATTAGAATGATTATTTGGCTCTGCTCTGCCTAAAAATGACAGATTACAAAGGAAAGGGGAATGAGTGAATATACCAGGATAATGGGGTAGAGGGCTGGAGGGAAGGGGACGCAGGGATAAGGTTCCTCAAGTCAATCCCATTCCTTCCAAAATGCCAGACCCCTTTTTTTCCTTCACTACTTCTATATACCTGGTACCTTGGATCCCTTCCATTTCAGCCTTGGGATCTGAGAATCTACATCCAGAAAGACCTTCAAGTAGAAATAAGAAGTGAATAATGAACCTAGTCAGGTGGAAAGGAACCAGGGCTTGTTTTGCTGGGAGGTCAGAAGGATTGCCGGGTATTTTTACAAATCCCTGGGAGGCTGAAATCTCCCTCAATCAGCCATAGAAGTTTATTTTGCTGTTGTTAAATAACAATCAGAAAAAAAATCAAGGCTTCTTTCCTCCTACACACTATTTCCCAATCCTCTCTCTCATAGAAAGCCTTTCCTTTAAATTTGGATTTTCAACCTCAACCACTTTTCAAACCACTCTTCCAGCCAGATGGTCCTTCTCCACTTTAGCACAGATTTTGTAGAGGCTTGTAGTTGGGTTTAAACACTTCCTGAAAGCCTGAATTGGAGTGAGGGCTTGTTAGGCAACTCTAAAGAAAATCTGGTAGCTTCCAACATAGTTTCAAAAACCAAGACAACTGTTTCTGCCAGTCTGGACACTGCCTCCCAGCAAGCAGTTTAACCTGGCTCTGCACGGTCGGTGGAGCTGACCAATGTCTTGTCACCATTTAAAAAATATAAGCAGAATGGAGGACTGTCCCACAAACAACCTGCTTCTGGGGGACCTAACCACCCCCTTCTTTCACTTATTAAAAAAAAAAAAAAAAACATGGTGGGTGCAATATTATGAAGACCATGCAGAGGCCACAGTACTAAAGCATATCAGTGCCTGTCCTTGGCCGGCCCTGTC